ATAGATAGATAGATAGATAGATAGATAGATAGATAGATAGATAGATAAGATGGGTGGGTAGGTGGGTGAATGAACAGACAGATTGGTAAATAGGTGATATAGTTAGATGATAAATGAAATGGACTATTTGCAAAAAGAGCTGTTTGGATTTCATATGACTGAGCTAAAATAAAATCGGTTTTTATCCCTTATACTTCTTTTTAGAAATGTGGCTCATAAGCTTTTGAGAAAGCAAACCTTTTTCTGCAATAGCCAGGTTGAATTGGCACAGCCGAGGTGGAAATGGCAGTAATCCGTCTACACTGATGGCCAGAGTCACAGTATCTCACTGGAAACCTCCACTCTGGGATTAGTTATTCATAGGCAGCCTCTATCTGACAGGAGAATTCACTTTTCCATCCACTCTGGGATTAGTTATTCATAGACGGCCTCTGTCTGAAAGGAGAATTCACTTTTCCATCCACTCTGGGATTAGTTATTCATAGACGGCCTCTGTCTGAAAGGAGAATTTACATTTCCATTTACAAATTGTAAAGTTCTTGTCTCAGTTGGGGCTTCAATTTTTTTTGTTTGTTTGTTTGTTTTGTTTTTGTACTAAAACACCAGGATCAAGAGCAACTTGGGGAGGAAATAGTTAATTTCAGCTTAAAGCTCTCAGGTCACACTCCATCCTTGAGGGAAGTCAGGGCAGGGACCTAGAAGCAGAACTGAAGCAGAGGGCAGGGAGGAACTCTGCACAGGAGTTCAGTCTGTTTGTTATTCAATGAGGACCCTGTTTCCAGAGACGACACTGCCCCCAGTGACCTGGACCCTCCCACATCAACCATCAATCAAACAATACACCACAGGGTTTCCCACAGACCCATCTGATGAAGGCATTTTTTTTTTTCAATCAAAGTTTCCTTTTCCCAAATGAATCCGGCTTGTATTTAGTGGCCAGCACCATAGCCATTGTAGCTATTTTGAGACAATAAAAATACTCTAAAACAAAATATCAGAACTAATGAAATGGTTTGTTAAAGTTAGTTAAGCCTTTCCTGATTGGCTGTCAGTTCTGTGAGCCATTGTCCTGTGGAAAGAGGTGAGCCAGCCAAGTCACGCAACACAGGACTGGGGACGTCTCTTGACTGTCATTAACTCTCCCTGCAACAAAGCAGTGACAAGAGCTGTCCCATTTCCATTACCACATTCCACAGAGTTTATTAATCATGGAAAATGTCCTGTTTGTCCATTAGGACTAACTGTGCTAATTAGCATTGAACAGATTAAACATGCTATCTTTATTTCTATTTTTTAACCACTTGAAAATTGCCATATAAAGAATAAATGAACTGTAATAATGTAGTGGATGGGAAGGAGGCCAGAAGGAAGGAAGGGGGGAGAAAGAAAGGGAGGGGGGATTCCAATCAAAGTACCAAGTATGATATGGGCATGCGGTGAAACTCCTTAACTTATACTTTTAAGTATGAGCTGGTGTTTATAATAAAAAAGAAGAAAGGATATTAGAAAGAAACCAAATTTCTCACATCCTAGCAGTAATTGTAAGTTCAGGTCAGTGATGGTGTCCCTAAGATAAAGAGCCATCACATGGTACAGGAAAGGGCCTGGGCTTTATGGGAAGCTCAGTCCTGGTGCCTCAGTCCCTAGTCACAAAGCATAGCTGAAAGGAAGAACAAGTGCCAGTCCCTCCTGATATCACATGAAGATGCCAGTGTTGGCGACTTAACTCACAGCCTGAACGAAGGACTGGGCCTTAATTGGATGCTGGTGTCTTGATGCCCGAATAGAGCTTTGACCACATGAACTAAAGAGTTTTCTGGTTTACCCAGAAAAGGAATAGCAAAGTTAGTAAGATTATCAGGAGGAGGAAAAAGTTCATATAATCTTACAGTATACACGCACCCACTTGCATATATACACATGTATACACATAAACACATGCACACACACAAATGCACATATACACACCTTTACATACACACATACATATCTATATATACACTTGCATATACACACAAACACATATGTATAGATACATAGACATATGCACATATATATTCACAGGCATGTGTATAACTATACACAAATATACAGACATATATACACACATAAACATACATAAACAAATACACATATGTATATATATATACAGACATGCGCATATAAAATCCAAACACATACACAAACATACACATGTACACACACAGCATATACACCGTACACGTAAATACACTCATACTCACATACATCCACATATACATACATACACACATGCATACATAAGTACACCCATAAAATGCATGAACTTACATGTATATGAATGCACACACATACATGCACATACACACGGGCACAAACAACCCATGGTAAGTTCATTTTTTCTCCCCTCTTATGTCCTCCGTCACTTCCTGGTGACAGTCCTTTAATCTTATTTTGAACTCATGTAAAGCAGTCATAGAAAGGTATCCATGAAAGATTAAAACAAACAAAACTTTAAAAAGGCAAAGATCACTTATTTATGTGCTAAAAATTGACGGGTTCTTCCTATCTCTTAGATCAGTCTGATGGCTGATATCAGCTAGTTGATCCTGGGATATTATCCTTTATCCAATTACTTATTATTATTTTCAGTATAGTCGTATAGCCATTCCATTATTATTTCAAAATACCTCAGACAGGCCTTGATAATAGTGTCAATCTCTCTTTGAGTCGAAAGCTTCTATTCCTGATGTGGGTCTTTGCATGGTGCTCCCATGACTCTTGTTAACAGTGCAGGGTCAGCTGTTGACACGGATGCTGTGTTGGTTCAAGATGAGCAGGCTGAGCATGCTCAGATCCGCCTACCGGGCTCACCTGTCCCTGCAGCCACACCCTCACACACACAGCTCACATTTCTCGGCTGGCTTTGTTTGCAGCACCCTGCGGAGGCCAGTACACAGGATCAGAGGGGGTCGTGTTGTCCCCAAACTACCCTCACAACTACACAGCTGGTCAGATATGCATCTACTCCATCACGGTGCCCAAGGAATTCGGTAAGAAATCGCTATTGTTTTTAATTCATCGCCACACACTTTAGAGCTAATTTGTCTGTTGTTTGGTAAAAGTAGGACAAAATGATACAAAAGAAGTGCTGTTCACTGAAGTACCAGATTTTCACCCCGCAGAGTGTTCCCTAATGCTCTTCTACCAGTGGGGTGTCACGGGTTCACGTGTCCCTCTAGGAGGCTGTGCCCAGAAATGGCTTTGGAGTCATTTGTTTGTAAATATTGGGCAGGAAGCAGAGGCGCACACAGGTCAAAAGCATGAGTCACACCTCTGCACAGCTGACTGGTGATGTAGTCACCCTTGAGACTTTGAGATGTATAGACAGAGAGGTCCTGGGTGCCTCGTACTTGCTCCTGACTGGAAAGATTGATAGATATTCTGTGAGTCTTTACTGGAGGAAGCCAGACAATCACTTTTACAGTCTTACAAGCTATTTCCATCTTCCTCAATGGTCAACCAAGAAAAAAAAAAGGAAGGAAGGAAGGAAGAGAAAAAAAAGAAAAGAAATCTAGAAGCCACCGTTTTCCCTTACATTAAATTAACAGTCACATATTCAGAAACAGAGCATATAAAGTTTAATGTGAGAATGTATTCAAAATAAAATATCTTTAAAGATTTCTATTATTTTAAATTTGTGAGCGTGCATACTTGATTCATTTCAGTTCAAGGTGATCTTACACCTCTGGCCTCCGCAAGCACCTTCACTCAAGTGCCTATACCCACACCCAGATACATATTTAAAAATAAAAATCAATCATAAAATAAAAACTATAAGTCATTGTAGGTCCCGAGTTTCTGTCTTTACATTCAAAAAGAGCCTGGAGCTCCCCTCATATAAGCTAAGTCCGATTCAGAACTGGCTGAATCCTTCCTTCCGAGCGAAGTGCATGTCTTCAGGTCCAGTTGTTCCAGGTCCTGAAGCCACAACCGCCTTGGACCTTCACAGCTGTTCCCCACTTCCAAGTACAGCCACACAGTCATCTTCACAATGCTGCTACTTGGGTATGCTGGGAGAATTTCCTTGTAACCCCCTTTCACACCCAGACATGAGAGTTTGAGCCCTGCTGTTTAAACGCTCTAATAATCTCCTCCCAGAGGCGTCACTGAGGTGGGTTTGCAACTCACCTTGCTGAGGTTCACAGTTCCGTGGCTTTGTTCTTTCAGCAGATGAGTTGGGTCCATCTGCTCACCACCTGGGCAGAGAGACCATGACTTAGGATGTGACTGTGTGTTACATGTATGCAGCTCCTGCAGGGGTCAGAAGAGTCCCTGGACCTGGAGTTAGGGATGGTGGAGTCACCATGTGGGTGCTGGGAATCAAACTCCTATCCTCTACAAGAACAAGTGTTCTTAACCACTGATCCATCTCCCCAGCTTCCATGTGTGCTTATTTTTCTAAGATTCCCGAAATAACAATCCTCTAGAGGGACCATGAATGTGTGTGAACAAATTCTCCTTTGCTCTTGGTAAGACCATGGCCCACCCTCTCTTCTTTTTCTAGTGGTATTTGGACAGTTCGCCTACTTCCAGACTGCGCTGAATGACTTGGCCGAGTTGTTTGATGGAACCCACCCACAGGCCAGGCTTCTAAGCTCTCTCTCTGGGTCTCACTCAGGTAAAACTTTCAAACTATACAGCTATAGTGATTGTTTTAAATTCCTGTCCCCCATTATGATGATAGGAAATGTAATCACCTTTGAATCTATAGGTTTGTAGATTTCAGAAAGTTTATCATTTTATTTACTAAGATTGTGGGGGAAATTCCATTCACCTCAAAAGTGATATTATTTAGAAAAAAGAAGGGAAATGATGAATTTTGTTTTCTATTCTATGTGTTTTATTCCCCTTCCCTGGGGTAACTCTATCATTTTCTCCTGATCAATTCCAAGAATGTATGTTACACAAGCAGAAAACACCCATGAACTTTTTGGTTTGCTGTTGGGCCTTTACAGCAGTTCCCACAGGTTCTCAGACACACATATCCTGCTGGCCCAACTCAGCACCGTTAGTAGCCCTCCTCTGCGGATAAACCCTTATTGGGCTTTTTCTGCATTGATTATGTAAATTAAGTAGACTTTTACTTTACCCAGAAGTGCTAATTGTGAGTAACACAGGTCTTAGTCCATCAAAGTTAAAGTTTGTTTGTTGTTTTTGGTTTCTCTCTATTTCCTGATTCGCCAAAATCTTTGTATCTCAGCTTTGTGGATTTCTAGCAAGGCCTTATCATGTCATGCCTACAAATGCCCCAGGTGACAGAGGAGCAACTCCTCACACACAGTGGCAGATCTCAGTAGCTTAGGGGTTGGGGGTCATGGAATTCTTGTATGCACTTGGGAGATACTTCCCAAGATGCTGTGTGTGTTGTCTGCTTTGAAGGTTAAACAATGATTTCCGAGATGAGTCTAGCGGGTCATGGTAAATTCAGCCCCTCGTATGACTCTCAGGACTTAAATGTCCCTGTGTGGTCAGTCACAGGGCGTGCTCCCTGTCGCTCACAAATAGCCTTCCATCATGACTGCAGTCCATTTTATTAGACTCCGCAAAGCAAGAACTGGCTTTAAAAATGTTCATAAAAATAAGGTGCTTGGGTCTTAAACCCCTAAATCAAGTTTTGCTCTATTTAATTTGAAGCATTTATTGTGGACTTTCAAGTCCACACTGCTTCTCCAAGAATGCCATCAGCACAGCCCAATGTGACTACCAGATCGCACATCCTTGCTTCTGTTTGAATTTCCAGGTGAGACACTCCCGCTGGCTACATCCAATCAGATTCTGCTTCGGTTCAGTGCAAAGAGTGGAGCGTCTGCCCGCGGTTTCCACTTTGTCTACCAAGGTGAGGGGGTTCCCTGTGCACTGAATTGTGTGCCAGGGTGAGGGGGCTCCCCATGCAATGCATTTGTCTACCAAGGTGAGGGGGTTCCCTGTGCACTGAATTGTGTGCCGAGGTGAGGTGGCTCCCTGGGCTTCGAACACTGAGGGAAAAAAAAAATCAACAAATTTCATTTTTGTGACATTTAAAGAATTGAGGACATTTATCTATGTGAGATAAAATCACTTAATAAGAATAATTAGGCTTCATTTTGGCACATTAAATTGTACTTCTCCTTTTTAGACATACTATCTTATTTTCTATCATAAAAAACCAATACAATTATTGATTAAGTATCTACATGTGTCTCTTCAGATTTTACAAAATGACATAAAATATAGTATTTTATCTAATTATGTAAATAATTCATAATAATTTCGGTCAACATAGATTGAAATATAGTTAAACATATGTTTAAAAGAAGCATATTTATTGTGAAAAGTAACTGAAATTACAATTTAACAAAGCCAAATCCAAATTGGCCCTTCCATGCCTGTTCCTCTGGATAAGCAACACTGTAAAATTAGCTTCTCTGTCCCCACACCTTTGTAGTTGCTTCTGTTTGTTTGTTCAGTCTGAAACTTTAAATAAATCGGAGGTTGTTTAAAAGTCCCCCAAAGTGAAAAAGATATCACACTTTCATTGACCTTGAATATTTGTCGCACAAACTTGAAGGTAGGGCGCAGAGAGCAGTGAAGCCGGTACTGACCACTGCACAGAAGGGAGCCGCTTCCGGGCTTGCTTCTGGTTTCACTTCTGGACTCGCTTCCGGGCTCACTTCTGGACTCACTTCCGGGCTCACTTCTGGACTCACTTCCGGGCTCACTTCTGGACTCGCTTCCGGGCTCCACTTCCACTTCCAGGCTCTGCATCTGATTCCAGGCTTGCTTCTGATCTTCACTTCTGCTTCCGGACTCCCTTCTGGGTTCTGCTTCTGCTTCTGGGCTCTGCTTCCTCTCCCCAGCTCTGCTTCTGCTTCCCGGATCCGCTTCCGGGATCTGCTCCCAGGCTCCAGTCACAACTCTTGAATTTTTCTCCATCTAGTTTAATCCAGTCAGAAGATTACCATCTACCCTTAATTGTTTTTCTCACCATTATAGAAAAATCTGAGTGGTTCTTTCTCTTGATAGGGAGTTCTCCAGAAATTATCTCAGAAAAATTCTGCTTATCAGAAAACCATGGAGGATAATAGTCACACCATGTGTTTCAATTCTCGAAATCTCACAGAACAGCAGTGATGAGCTCAAAATATTTCACTATAAAAAGCTTCAGCTTCCATTATCAAAATCACATAAACGGTCTTGGGCAGCGGGTTGGGAGGATGTTGGCAGCACACAGGAGGAATATTTCCAACCCTTCGGTGGCAGTTGTTTCAACATGGATGTTAAGGAATTAAAAGTAGTACCTTGTTTTAAGATTGTAGTTTTGTTAAATGCAAATGACCAGTATAGTTTTAATTGATTTTGCTACAGAATGGCTAATTTAGGCAAGCTGACTAAGACTTTCTTCAAATAAGTTTGGAACTGTTTTGTCAAAAAAGATACATTATCCGTAATTCACATTTCTTCTGTGGCAAAACCAGTCTAATTGCTTTAAATATTTTTTCCTCCTGAAAAAATTTACATTAACACTAGAAAATGAATTCAAGTTACTCTGAGTCTTTATGAGGGACTTGCTCTGACTTTTGACAAAGATTAGATCACTGATCAGACAAGTAGCAAACGACCCAAGGCCTGTGTTACCCTCGAGTTCACACCCAAGTGGCACGTTTAGAAAAAGAATTAAATCATTTTTGGGGATGTGTATCTGTGTGGTGGAGTCTGTGTGGTTTATGTGTTTGTGTAAATCCATGTCAATGTGTGTGCATGCATGTGCATACACATGTGTAAAGACGAGAGGTTGATGTGTCTTCCTCAATCTCTCTCCTCCTTTTTTATAACAGGGTCTGACTCCATACCTAAATTTCCCCCAACTTATTCAGACTAACTATAGAACAAGCTCCAGAGATCCACCTGGACCCACAAACCCTGGGGTTGCAGGTGCAATCTTCGAACCCTGCGTTTTAATTTGCATAGGGTTTTGAGCTCAGCTCCACAGGATTGTATGGAAAGAATTTAACTGGCTGAGCTGTCTCCCAGTCCTGAAAAATAGTTTCTTTATATAAAGCCATGCATCATCATTAAAAATATGTAAAACTACAGGAAACTCGAGAGCAAACATTTATAGAAGAAATCCGTTTTCCTTGTATAATAATAAAAATGACATATTTAATGTCTTATAAAGCCCAATACTCCACCTTTTCCTCTCTCCACTAGTGAGTTTATGCAAAAATGAGTCTTTTATCAAAGCTAAATTCCTGGGAGGTATAAAGAAAGAAGTTAGTGAACCCAGTTTATAAACTACTCAAAGGCAAGGATAAAATCTTCAACCCGGCGGGGGAGTTCGATCGAACGCTGGTGTTTGAAAAGATAGCTACATGGAAGCTAGACATTCTTTGAACTCTATTGTATCCAGATGTTCCGAGCTGCGGCTTCCTGCACTCGTGACAGTTTGGCAGCTTCACTCATCCCTAAATTATTAAAGCTTTGGATTACTCAGTGACTTTGTGACCTGAGGCTATAGGATGCTTGACCCCTGTTAGCAGGCAGACGGGCCATTATGAAGAATGTCTGAGGTGCCAGCCAAAGTTATATGCAGCAAGACAGAGGGCAGGAGAGTGCGTGGGACTCCTGCGTGAAAAGATGTCCCTCCCTTCTCAGCCTGCAGTAACTGTTTCCTGGTGGAGGATGTGGAGACTGGAGACGATGAGATCAAACATGTCATCATTCTCCAAGCTTCTGAAGAAATGTAGACCGTGATGGCTACATTACTGCCAATCCACACTGCCTAGAAACAACTGGAAAGAGCATCCCAAGGGGAGATTACTTTAGATCGGATTGGACTGTAGGCACATCTCTGGGGCATTTTCTTGACTGCTAATTAATGCTTTACTACTCAGCCCACTGGAGGCAGCCAGTCCCGAGACAGAGGGTCCTGAAGTGTGTAAAAGTGAAGAAGGCTAGCAAGCAGGCAAGCAGGCAGCATGGATGTGTTCATCGCTCCCTGCTCTTGACTCTGGTTGTGGTGTGGCCTGCTGTCTCTTGCCTCTGTCGCTCCCCATCAGGAACCAGGAATTATAAACTCAGCAAAGCCTTTCCTCCGCTTTGTTGATTTTGGCTAAGGTGTTCTTATCTCAGCAGCAGAAATGACATTTCAAAAAGGACTTAACTGTAGCATGGAGGGAAATGCCACCTGCACCTCTCCTCCTTTACTTATTGTCTGCTGCATCCAACTGACCAGATCCAAGTTAAAGTTAGTGGCTGAAAGTCTCACCGTTACCTTGTTTGGTTTTTATCTGTTTTATTTTTTAACCTTTATTCTTATTTCATGTGTATGAATGTTTTGCATGCCTGTCTGCCTATGCACTGCTATGTGCAGTGTCCTTAAAAGCCAGAAGAGGGCATTGGATCCCCTAGGACTGCAGTTATAGACAGGTGTGAGGTGCTGAGAATCAAACCCATGCCCTCTGGAAAAGTAGCTCTTGCTGTTAACTGCTGAGCCATCTCTCCAGTCCACAGCATACTGTTTTATATTGCCTTCCATTCATGCCTGGTCATTTCAGCATGCAGTTCAAATTCTCTCTCAGCCACCTCCAGAGGACCTACTCTCACCAAAGTCAGCAACCTGGCCTAATCTACTGTCTACTGTCATAAGAGAAGAAGCCATGTTTCTCAGACTCTCCACGGCACTCACCTGGAAAGAGGCAGTTGACCCTAACTCTGTCTCTTTGAGTCATGGCTCTGCATCACCAACTAACATCAAGTGACCACCTTTAGACCCCAGTCACAACTAAAACAATGCACAGCCTTTTGCAACCACGCAGAAAAAAAAAAAAGCATTCCTCCTCAGCAATGATACCTTGAGAGCACCCTGACACCAGTCATGCCTGAACGACACTCTATCCCAGCCTCATCTGGGCAGCGCCCTGCCTTAGCCAGCTTAACTGTCAAGTCTTAGACTCTTTACAGATGTTAACACAGTTCATTGAAAAACAAATAACACCAAAAACTGCTGAAAAATAGTCAGAGCTAGAAGCACAAGTAGCATTCCTCTGAGCTGGGGTGAGAAGAATGGAACCAAGAGTCTCATTGCATGAGGCCCTGAAGCCCCACACTTGTTCCTTTCCTGGCTTCTCTGTGATGCTATTAGCTAAAGCATAGTTGATTTTGCCTTTCTAAAGAAATCACGTTTAGCATCAAGAGTTTATCAAATGTAGTAGCTTGTTGCTTTTACCAAGAATATGTATGATTAAACTGTGTGTGTAATTCACTGGTGTTTACTAATTCCCTAACTGGAAACCAGCTTATCAGGTAGGTTAGAATCCTAAACTCCCAGCCAAGAAAGAGTGTCCCTTGGTCACGAAAGGAAATAAGAAGCCTCACCATGTGTCCTGCAATTTACTCTTTGTGTTGTTTGTTTCCTGTAACCACTTGCTGTGGAAGGCTACACACAAGTCTCTTTGATTGGTGATGGCACCGGCTGTAACCGGTTGCTGTGGAAGGTGATGCATGTGCCTCTTTGATTGGCGATGGCACTGGCTGACTGATGGATCACTTTGGTCTCCTAGGAATTCCGCATGAGCTTTTTTTTGTTTTGTTTTTTACTTTCCCCAGAAAGCGTTGTGTGCACACACCTAATGACTCTCCACACTTGGCTCTGTAAGACTCCTTAGAGGAGCATCAGTCTCTAACTCAGTACAGTGGTGTGCTGTGACATATTTCCATGTCCCTCGTCTGCCCTCCAATTGATTTCGCTCTCACATCTCTCTCAACTACTTTCAAATCTATTTCATGATGGCACAAATATTATCTAAGAGACAAAGAATAGAGACGAGAGAAAAGAACTCCCACACTCTGCCTTAAAGGCCTGAATGAGCAGGATCAGGAGGTCCTAATGGAGAGGAGGATTTTACAGCAGAATCCTCTCCTCTCCATGTTACTGTGGTCCATTTAGCACTGCCCCTATCTCACACTTTTTCTGTCTTTCCTTTGCTTTCCAAACTTCCAGCTCCATGGAAGTTCTTTAGAGTCACAAGTGCATACAACACTACTCATTTCTGTAGAATCCTTGTCCACATCTACCACCCAAGAACCAGAAGACATGCAGCATTTCATAGACCTAGGCACTTACATCCTTTGACAAGGAAATCCTTATACCATGGGAACCCAGGGGAATCTCAGCAGAGGGAGATCAAGTATGGCAGGTAATAAGACTTGGCTGTAGAGCTGGGTCAGGGTGACTGTTGTAGGAGTGCTTCCTTCAGGACCACTACATCCTTGAGGGTCTTTATTTTCACATAGGAAATGGAAGCATCAGAGTAGACATAACACCCGTGTAGGGAAGAGCCCGTAATCATTATATGGGGTTCTTGATCTTGCTGGGGCTTCCATGGTGCTATTGATGCTGTCTGGCATAGCATAAACACACAACTGTCTGGGATGTTTCTCCTGGTTGATAAAAGAGGTACCCTGCCCTTTAGCATCAAGCCACTGACTCTGTAGCTATTTTTCCTCACGTGATTGTTCATTCTCACTGGAATGTTCTACTTTAGGTTGTTCCTTGCTGCTCAATTTACTCCTTCCCCTCTACCTTCTTCAGTTCTGAAGCACACCGTGATAGCATTTGATGAGAGCTTTTACAGCTGTCCATCTCTGTGTACTGAGTGGCTGGCTTACAGGAATAGCATTTTCCACCAACCCATCAGGGAAAGTTGACCCTAAGAAACAAAGTGGGGTTCTGAATTGTCACCTTCTATGTCTAGTCCCAGAATCCTGATTAATCTCCCACACATACACACACACACATACTCTTACTGGGTTTTTTCGTGGTCTGTGTGACTGGTTGACTCTATGGCTGCAGCATGGAGCTTCCCTTTTTTTTTTACAGGGTCTCCTTTCTTAGAATGATTATGATAGTATATTGTTTTTCTTAGTGTTGTCGGAGCTACCAGCCATAAAGCCTGGCCCCAACCTGGTACTCACTCCCATTAAAAGAAAACACCATAATGCATAGAAGAATGGAAATCAGTTTCTTCATCTTTTTCCCCAATTGGTTAGAAAGAAATTCTTCATCTGTGACTTGCCCACAGATGAGTTGTGTCTTTCAGCAAAGAACCACACAGTAGGAAGTATGTGTTTGTATATAGTCTAGCCTCTCTCCTGGGAGATGAGTCTTTCCTTGGGCCTCAGGGTTTATCCTGTAGGTGGTCACCTGTACTCCAAGTACAATATTCTGGAAGAATCCTAATTCATGGGGCCTAGACTGCAATTGTAGAGTGTTACCTTTGTCCACTGTGGTGGCATGATATATGCTTTCTTGACAAATTAACTCTATGACTATTGCTAACGACAGTCACAGCATGTTCTAGCAGACCTACAAAACTTCCTTTGTCCACACAGTTAAAAGCCCAGCAATGCCCTGATTCCCCTCATCCATCCCTGGCAGCCACCATCCAGCTCTCTACTCCAGAAACTGCAACTGTCTGGGATCTTCCATGGAAGTGGAACAGTGCAGTCTGTTTCCTGCCAAGACCAGCTTGGCTCTCTCAATACAGCACCCTTCAAATGCATCCATCCTTGTGTGAATAGCAAGGTGTCCTTCACTTGTAAGGTTTAATAAAACTCTCGTGTGTGGATTCATAGACCACACATAGTTATACAGGCATCTTCTGATGGACACTGTCTTAGTTAACCCACTGTCATCTGATTGGATAGTATCTTGCCTATATAGATGGGCTTGTGGTCATGTCTGTGGGGGAACTGTCTTGGTTATTAATTAACGCAGGAGGGTCCAGCCTACTCTAGGCACCATCCCTCGGTTAGTGGTCCTGGGCTGTTTGAGGAAGCTATCTCAGCATAAGGCTGGGTGAAGTGGGCCAAGGCAGCGTACTGTGTCCCTTCGTGATTTCTGCTTCAAGTTCCCACTTGAGATTCTACCTTGGCTTCTCAGTCATAGGCTGTGATCTGGAAGTATAAGCCAAATAAATCCTTTCCTCCGCTTTTGGTCCGAGAGTTTTATTACAGCAACAGAAAAGAAACTAGAATGGGCACTAAGTTTGTTTTAATATCTTGGCTATCATGTTGTTATTAGACCTCAAATTCAGCTCTTCAGGATGAATATCCAGAGTTGGAATGATGGGTCATGTGACAGGTCCTATTTTTAATTGTATGACTTATCACAAGGGCCACATCTAAACTAATCATTTGCAGGGTACCTATCCCACAAGACCCATATGTTGCTGAGGAAGAACAAAAGTTGTCGTCATTGCCTTCTAATTGCCAGTGCAATCATCTAGTTTTTAATTAATTTCAACTGCTTGAATGTTAATGAGCCGACACAGGCACTAATTCTCCTCATCTCCCAACTTCCCATCTGAGCGAGACCTCTGTGGTGATCCCCAGCGTTACCGCGGGAGGAAATGGAGACACAGAAGTGCCCCTGGGCTGGCTCCTCACAAAGAGGCTTACAGACTTGGTGTCCACCCTGCATCTCCGCCCATCATCTCCGCCCATCTCCTCCGCAGTCACTCTTGCCACACTCCACTCTGACACACTGGTTCTTTGTGCTTTACTTCCCCAGCCGTTCCACGCACCAGCGACACACAGTGCAGTTCTGTCCCAGAACCCAGATATGGGAGGAGGATCGGCTCTGAGTTCTCTGCAGGTTCCATAGTTCGATTTGAGTGTAATCCGGGTTACCTGCTCCAAGGTTCCACGGCCATCCGCTGCCAGTCCGTGCCAAACGCCTTGGCCCAGTGGAACGACACCATCCCAAGCTGTGTAGGTAAGTGGGGCCCATGAGATGAAATGATTACCTAGGGCTGGATCAGAACCTCATGTCAGGGTTAGAGCCCATTCTTCACGCAGCGATCTTTGTGAAGATCAATTGATTTTATCTGGAGCCCAATAGCCCTGACCTTAAAAATCAATGTTTCCTAAAATATGAGATGGGTATGTGCAAAATATGTTTTCCTGCTTGATGCTCATGAAGTCAGCCATCAGCTCTAAGGTTATGAAAAGAGATCATTTCAGTCTGTGGGGGAAACATTAGGATGGTGGACTGTAGCATTATGTGTATGGCATCATTTAATGCATTCATGCTGATTCTGAATATTTGAAAAGCAGTGTGGATAACAGAGGCATTAGTAGTTATTACTTATGACATTTTTTTAAGGAACTTTGAGTGCAAGGGTGATTATCCCTCGAGTTTATCTGTACATTTTAAGCCCCTCCTCTTCTCCCTGAATTGCTCTGAACCTCACCAGTATGACCTGGCATTGCCTGTCTGCAGGTGGACAGGAGCGCTCTTCACACACCTTTACATTAAAGTAGAAAAATTATTATAAACAAAACTCACTTCAGAGACTCTTTTGTTGTAGACAGTCCCTTCATAGAAAACCCCCAAAGAGATTTATTTGTAGACTTAAGACTTAAAACTCAGGTAAATGACAGATATCCGTCGCTGATGTTGCCCATTTGAAAGAGAAGAGATTAAATTTTACCTTGGCTAAAAATATCACTTAAGAAACAGGAAGGGTTTCCCTGTCTGAGCACAGCCGAGGAAAGGAGACATCAGTTCCCGTTACTTCACTTGGCTTTTACGTAACGTGGCTCTGTTTTTTAGTTCCATGCAGTGGCAATTTCACACAGAGGAGAGGGACGATTCTGTCCCCGGGCTACCCTGAGCCCTATGGCAACAACTTAAACTGTGTGTGGAAGATCATAGTAACGGAGGGCTCGGGGATCCAGGTAGGGCCTCAGACCAGGACCTCTGAGGAAGCCGGGGTCCCCTGCTTCCCATTCCTTCCTTCCCTCGCTCCCCTCGTCTCCCCCTTCCTTCCTCTTTCCCGCCCCTCCTCTCTTTTCCTCCCTTCTCTCCTTTTCTTCTTCATTATTCCTTTTTCCCCATTATATTGTCTATTTAAAGATTTTAAAGACATTTTTTGTTTATCTACTTGCTTTGAGTTATCTTGAGTTATGATGCAGCATAATGAATTTCATTCTGGCTTTTTCATGCATACTTTGCCCCCTGTGCTCCCTTGCACCCTCCTGTCATGGGTGCACAGGTGGAAATTAGTTTTTATTTTCTGAGAGTGGCTACAAAATGTTTCTAATTATTTTCCATGTGTGCAATAAAATTTTTTATTTACCTATGTTTTAAGGCTTTCTTTTTATTTTTTTAATCGAGAAGGGTACATGTGTGTACAGTGCCTAAAGTAGAAGAGCACATTGGAGCTGGGGTAGCAAAAGTGTGTGCCACCTGCCATGGGTGCTGGGAACAAAACTCAGGTCCTCTGGCAGAGCAGTAAGTGCTCTTAAGCACTGAACTATCTCTCCAGCCCAATAATTGATTTTTATAAGTATTATTTATAGAGATTTTCCTATTTTCTGTTATAGAGTAGTTCCTTTTTTCATATGTGTGTGTATTTTTTGGAAGAATATTTGTATCAGTTCTGTGACAGTTTCATACATGTATACAATATATTTGTTCCCATCCATCCCCCACCAGCCTGTCTCCTATTACTGCTGATACCCTCTTCCAATATGAACCTTCCCGTCTTCACATCTTCTCCATTTATTGCATGCCACACTAAGCCAAGTTATTTTTGTATATCTTTGTCTTAGTCATGAAAAGCTCGATCTTGGGTTTAGATTAGTTTGGTTAAAACAAAACCCAGTAACCCTGCTTTGTAACTCTGTAGATTCAAGTGATCAGCTTCGCCACAGAACAGAACTGGGACTCCCTGGAGATCCATGATGGCGGAGACATAACAGCCCCAAGACTGGGCAGCTTCTCAGGTAGGGGAGCGGCTGGACTTCATGTTGTCTCCGCTTGTGAGTCAGAGCCATAGCCAAGCGGGGTACAGAAAACAGTCTGTGAATAGTGCTCCACAGCTCTGCTTTCCCCATGATGTCTGCCAGGGTGGAAGGGCCAAGTGTGCAGCTGTCGGGACAGGAGAGAGGGAGGTGGCAAGGGGTCCCTGAGCAGGAGGCAACCCAGCAATTAACGGCATCCATTCTGAAGCCGGCCATGGAAGGGAGGCACCACTGACAGGTACATGGGAGGGGACAAAGCTGAGAAGAGGCTTGCCCGAGGGTGGGCAACCTGGAAATGACCCTGTGTACTGTGCCTCACTGAGGCCCACAGCCTGTCACGTTTCACTGTGGATGAATGGTGACAGTCGTAAGCCCAAACCCAGACATCCCCGGCTCACAAAGCCACAGACCTGGAGCTGCAGTAATGGATAGTGAAGTCAGCCCTTGCACTTCCAATCTCCCATGTACTAAGTCACCATCTCCAGGCCTTGTCGTCTCAGAAAACCACGGACAGGGTCACCGTGTTCCTCCTCCTTGTCACCATGGTCCCCAAAACCGAAATCATCTGTGCTTCGTTGTCCACCCCAGTCCTAATCATTACATGAGTTCATCTGGACTAAGTCCTAAATTTCAGACGTAGACTTGTCTAGTCTGACACAAAAAATGTCACATGAGAGTTTTTGTTCAACTGAATCGTTCTTTTTCTGTTGACTATTTTTTTTATTATTGAGTAAGTAAGAAATAAAGGAAGGATGGGTCTCTCACAGTGCTGACCACAAGATTGATTGTATCTTTCAATGATACAGGGATTGTGTCTGTGGCTGTCAGCAAATGGAAACATCTCTGCATGGCCAGCCACAGAGGTGTGGGATGGTACAATATCAAATACTGCTTGTCCCTCATTGCAGATCTCTGTCTGCACTTGGCTCTGTACACTTCTGAAAGTTTACACACAGTGGCCCATCACCAAACAAGTCTGGTGTGAAACTTCTCCACGTAGGAAGCCTGAGTTCCTCAGCCAGGTGTCTCTGGTCACTGTCCTAGTTACCGTGACATTTACAGAAATGTTTAGTGTGTATAATTGGCAGAGTGGTGGGTGAAGTAGGCATCCTCTGCCATTCAGAACAACAGTTAAGCCCACACTTTAAAATCTACCCGCAGAATCCCAAATGCGATTTGATTTATGGTATTCGTTTATCTAAGCAGGAAGTGCTGGGGGATTATGGGTGTTAGGGGGGGTATATAGCGTCCTTCTGTAAGATGTGTAAAGGAAGAAACAGGTTAGTGGGATGTAGGCACACTGGAAGGTGGAGGTATGTTCCCACAGTGAGAACCCTGCTGCTGCCTCCACTTCTGCTGCACTTAATGATACTAAAGAAAGGAACCAGTCCCATTCCTTGTGCACTTCGGACAAGGTGCTTGGTTGTTTATTTGTTTGTTTGTTTGAAGTTAACCAGGAGGATGTCTTTAAACTTATTTGTTGCTGGGCGGGACAGATGACCCAACAGGTTCAAATTCCAACACACAATTCACAAGAAACTTTCACTCCAGTTCCAGGGGATACGACGCCCTCTTCTGGCATCCACAGGTACCAGCCATGTGTTTGGTGCACAGACAAAACACTCATCCACATAAACATAAAATAATTTAATTTAAAAAATCATTTGTCACAGTTACCACAGCAATGCCAGATTGACGCTCGTTGCCGGGAGTTGGAGGGACTTCACAGGTCAGAGGCAGAGCTGACTCTTGACAGACCCCATCAGACAAGAGTGGGAAGCTAGAGTCGTAGGCCACCTATAATATTGAAAGTGAGCTGTAAATCAAGGGTTCTGAAGACCCCCTCAATGCCGATGGGCGTCGAGAGCAGTTCACAGCACTCCAAAAGCACACGTGTACAATAGCGCTTGTGTTGAATAGAACAGGAAAGGACATCAGCCAGCTGGAGACACTCTTAGTGTGAGTTTCATTCCTCCAAATGTGTCACCTTTTTAGGCACACTGACATGTGCTACCATCTGTGATGTCCACCCAAACTGCTTTGTCTAGAATTTCAGGATTTTTTTTCACACAGTCATGATTGACTGTCTTATTGGCTGCCAAACAGAGCTTCATCTCTGGCCCTCGTTATCTCCCACCCCTGGAAGTGGGGCTGTTATCTCGTGGGTCAAGCTGACTGATGTCCCCAGTGTGGCCAGCCCCACTCAGGGTTTCCACGGCATAATCCTAATTGTGCTTGTCCCAGAGTTACTGGTCTCTCGACCCTTCCATGAATGGCCAGCATATTCCCGTGAACTGGAAGATGCCCAGGGCTCAGAGGTAGCCTAGACATGTGACATCACTGTCTATCAACCTTGTGACCTGATTTTAAGCTTGACTTTTTCTAAGTTATCAGATATACAAGGAATGAAAAAAAATATTGAGACAATAAAATACGGAGAAAGCACAAGTGAACTGACAGGTGTGTGTCTTGTAAACTTTCCCCTTTATATACTTGATGCTGACTGCCTTATCTTCTGGTCCACGCTGGCTGAAGCAACTGTTCTGACGTGGGGGGATGTTACAGTTCTCTAAACCTGAAGCACCCCCGAGGTCCTAGCTGAGACTCATCTTATATTCTTTCTAAAATGTAAACAGGGATCTTAACGCACCAGGTCTCTGGGCTTGCCTCAGGAAATCCCTCTCATAAACATAACTGGGCCATTTGTAGTTCGTTGCAGCCAGATGCAGCTTGTTACTTTCCAGTTAATTAGTGGGAAATGAAAATTTGCGAATGTTTTCAATGATGAATATCAAACTAAAGTAAATCTGGGTTGGGGAGGCACCTCAGTTGGTACAACGCTTGTCCTGTAAGCATGAGGGCCTGAGTGTAGTCCCTAGTCTAGAACCCACTGTGACAATGCTCACCTACAATCCCAGTAGGGGACCATGGTAATGGGGTTTCTGAAGTTCTTTGGTAGCTGGTGGGGCTAAATCAGTGAGCTCATATTTAGTGTGAGACCCTGTTTCAAAAAATACAGTGGGGGCAGGGTGAGAAAGGAAGACACCAGCCACAGGCACAGATATGAACACACATTAAATTAAGCTAAGCAAACAATTCTCAAACACTATCAGATTTAAAAATTATTCTGGAAGACAACAAATCTAATTAAAATAACCCTCATGACATGGAACAAGCTTGCTTTATGTAATAGTTTTTCTAAGCAATTAAGAAAGATTAACGAAGACCTTCTATGTTCATTTTAGTCCAACACCTTTATATTAAATTACAAATTATTTAATTAAAGCATACGCTGCTGTGAAGGCCACTCTGTCCAGAACAATGTGTAGAGTTGGCTTTCTGGAGTGGCTGTATTTAGGACATCCTGGGGATATTTGTCACAAATGTGAGCTGCGGTTTGTTTTTTTTTTAAAGCATTTACAAGCTGCAACCTACTGCCCACCACATCCGGCATGGGCCAAGGTCTGTCCACCAACCTGAGCTATTGTAGGCCCATCTTCTAAACATCAAGTGTCCACGTGCATGAATAATTAAAAACAATAACCAAGAAAGCTCTGGAATGTGTGCACTTGTGCGACACCGTGTTGTGTACGGTGCTGTATGCACGGGAAGGAGGTGCGCTGGGGCCATGACCACACAGCTGGGTTTGGAAAACTCTCTTTACTCAGAAGCTCCCAAAGGGAGGGGAGCTCCCCATGTGATGGATCAGGCTCTCACTTTGATGAGAGAGTGACTTGTGAAAGTCAGGTCATTAAAACTGAGGTATTAATTCTTCTCATTCCATCGTCCTCGGTTAGACCGGACAGGGTCTGCCTGTCTTTCCTCTGTCTTCTGTTTGACACTGGATACCCCAGGTCTACCCTATTTTGTCACTTGACGCTTTCTGGTTAAATCACTTTGAGTCCATATTTACAGTTCTCTCACTGTCTTTTTATTTTCTCCTCTGTATACACACCGTAGTGTACGAGCCCCTGTGTCTGATAGTGCAAGTCAGCAGCCAGTGGCCTGGGCCAGCAGTATCTCCTCCACACTGGCAGTTTGAAGCCTGGCATCTTCTTGAGGGTCCTGTAGTCTCTGAGCAAATTTAAAAGGCAGGACTTTTGCTTTGGCATTGGGTCAGTATTTGGTCCAAAATGTCATGTTGGAAACACTGTGGGTTTTTAAAGCAGCAGAATCTCCCTGTTTGAGTTTTTTTTTTTTTTCCAAGGGTGAAGTAGATTTAGAAACTACATACTGGGTCAGTTTCCCTTCTACATGTTTTCAGGGTGGATTTTTTTTTTCTGTTTTGACATCATTAGAGCCCAAGCAAGAAGGCCAGGTGACGGTTGTAAGATTGGGAATGGTAGAAGTACCCAGTAGATGACAAGGTAGGAACTGAGCTTACAAATGCACCCAGGGTAAAAGAAAGAGTCCTCTCCACTTTGGAGTACACAGCTCCATCGCTGGAAGTTTGAAGGCCAGAGGCACCAGATTTAGCTCAGAAACATGAGTGTGGAATTTATGTATATGAATTCATAAACATATATATTCCTAACATAAAAAAATGTGTGCATGCACACACGCGTTGTGTGTTCTGCATCCCCTCCACGTTGAGAGAGAAGTTGAGCAGTATTATCCCAATAGCAACAGATGCACCTAAGGCACAAATCCTGTCCTATTAATCATCCTAAGGATTATCATACCAAATCCCATTCTCAACCTAAAAGCAGTAATTCTCAGCCTGTGGGTTGTGACCTCTTTGGCGTGCTCCAACAACCCTTTCGCAGAGGTTGCCTAAGACCATCCATCAGAAAACACAGATATTTACATTATAATTCATAACAGTAGCAAAGTTAGAGTTATGAAGTAGCAACGAAAATAATTTTATGGTTGAGGGGCAGTGTCATCACTGCCTGAGGAACTGTATTAAAGAGTCTCAGCATTAGGAAGACTGAGAACCACTGCCTAACCACTGCCTTGAAGACAGGACATTTCTAGGAGGATTATTGATTGCAATATGTTACAATATGCATATGTAACATAATGTGTGCAATCGGTATATAATAAAAATGTGTATTATATATAATGTACATGCATATACAACATGTGATTAGGTGTTTTGTATATAATGGATGAAACTAATATCTGTGAAATGCACCATTCTACTTAGATGAATGAATAGCTCGCCCACAACATAGACGTTGACTGATCCATGGAAAAGGGTACTAAACACAAAGGGCATTCTTGGCATAATAAACACAAAGGGCATTCTTGGCATAATAATAATAACAATAACATTGCAACTGGAGTCTCTATGCTGAGCTAATCGAGTGTGCACGAGGAGACGGGGTGCTCATGTCTCCATGGCCCCCCACCAATACATACTCACTGCAAAGGAGCAGAGTGTAGCTCATGGCAGAGCTCCATTCACAGTGCTAGAGCCTGAACTGGGAGGGGCATGTGCATTGGCAACCTCAGATCCTGCTCTCAGAAAAGCAAATCAAAACTTGGCCAACTGTCTCCTGGTCAGTGCTATCCTGTACATGTTCTTCCCACGCTGGCCATCACACACGGCCAAGGCACTGCTACCAGCTCTCACAAGCCTGCGCCACTAGTGCCCACCAGCCACACCCAACAGTCAACAGCCAAGCCATACCAGGAGAAACACAGCGTTGCACTATATTCTTGCCACACATTCTTAGCCTAAATAGTAAGTTGAATGAAAGTCCAAAGATATTCCACAAAACCTGGTTTGTTTTTATTTTTTTTCTAAAATTTCAAAGATAAAAACCAAGGGCAAAGGACTTGGGGTGCAGCTGCAATGCTGTCAGTGATAATGGCTTCCGAGCTGGGCTGTCAGAGCCCTTGCTGGAAGAGAGCTGGTACTCGCATGAGGTCTGAAGCTCAGGTTGTGCTGTGGAATCCACGTTTGCCTGATTCTGAGAAGCTCTGTGGTTTCAGTCAGTAGGCATGCAGTGTGTTCAGGGACCATATGGATTGAGACTACTATGACATCCACATGTATGTGCACTATGAACACAGAGATAACTGTCATGTGTCCAGAATGACAGTTGATACATTGGGTTTTTTTTTTTTTACTTAAATATAAAATTTCTTTTCAGCTAGAAATCACTTCAGTTCTCTTAGGATAATAGTTTTTAAATTGGATCTGATCCTATGTCATTGTAGACATGTTTAAAATTCTGAACAAAATGAAAGTTACATGGAGAAAATGCTATACAAGACCAACAATTTGGATTTTTTAGCAAAATCAATATTTAAAGATTTTGTTCCTGTGATACTTTAAAGTATTTCTAAAGCCCATTCTAAAGTATTTTAATTGTTGAATAAAAATAAATAAGAATGAGATGTCGTAAGAAGTACAGATTTCCAAACAAAATGATTGACATCTTTAATAAATTCAGGGCTTTGGTTCTTCATTTCTGCTTGGGTAGGAATGTGTACGTAGATCTTTCTTAGCAAGCCGTTGAAAAATCACTTTGGAAGCAGGCGGGTTATAAATTATAAATGAGTAAAATAGAGCAGAATTTATGCAGACTTGTATCTGCCAGTTGGCATTAAAGGAAAGCAAATATCAGTAAACCGAAAGTAGACTCTGCAGGGACAATAATAAAATTTTGCAGCTTCCTTTGTCATGTGTCATTCTATCTGGGTCACAGTAAAACAATGTGATCAGAAATATTCTGCCAATAGCAACATTTTTTTAAAAAATCTCTCCTTTGCATTTTGCATAGAGAGAATGAGCCCCGGATAGTAGACTACCAAAAGTCAACTCCAGTGAACGACAGGTGCAGGGCAAGACCCTCTGTCCAGAGGAAGCCGGGCTCTAAGGGGCCCATCATATATAGCACTCTTGAAGCATAGGGCAGGCAGTTGTTAGATTTCATGGCTGATTAAAGAGACATCATTTTTCATCTGGAAAAGACATGTGAGTTCACAACTTAATGTCATATCCACAACTCATTAGCTCATCTGAGTACACGACTTTCCAAGATCTTCATGTTGTAAAATCAGAATGCATTCAAGTTTCTGTAAGTGGTACGGGGTGATGGAGTTAAGTAGCCCCAGAGCCTGAACTAGAAGTGGGTGTCTGGGTCTACTGTACAACGAAAAAGCAATACTTTTGTGCAAGTTACTAAGCTGGGAGCTCAGAACGCTCAGATAACTTTGGTGAGACAGATAAAGGACACCCAGGCCGTGCAAAGTGAATTCCTGGGTTTGAATCTGGGGGAGTAAAGCTGGGTCACTATTCACACCAGCAGCCTGGTATGATTCCAGAAGCAAATGAGAAACTGTGGTTTCTCTGTTGTTTTAGGAGACCTGTGGTGCTGTACTCATTGGTTTTAACTGCCAGTCTAACACAACCTAGAATCACCTAGATAGGCCTTAATGAACTGTCTAGATCGGGTTGACCTATGGGCATGGCCATTGGACGGTGTCTTGACTTGGTAATTGAGGTGGGCAGCACCTTTTCACAGGCCAGTCCCTGGCCTATCTACGAGTAGAGAAAGCAGAAGCAAGCAAGGATCCATTCTGTTGTTGTGGTTTGGTTTGGTTTTCTTTCCTTTTTTGACTCTGGATATGATGCATTGAATTCCTATGTTAATTTCCCCAAAATGATGGGCTGTAACCTGGAAATATAAGCCCAGTAAATCCTTCCTGGCCTGAACTGCCTCTTGTCGGGGTATTTTATTACGGTAACAGAAATGCAACAAGAACAGGAAGAAAGCAAAGAAGAGTGTTTCATTGTAGGACCGGTAGTTATTTAAACAGAGCAATGAACTATAAACAGACACTATTAGGTTCCCCCAAATGTCAGATAAAAATCAGACCATGGAACGAAAACTTGGAAAATGAAGCTGTTAGGTCCACATAAAACATCCTTCTTCCTCTCTGTGTACCGGCCCGATGACCAGTATGCAAGATGAAAGATGACAAGCGTTGTGGGAATCCCACAAAAGCAGTCGCCGTGCATGCCCTTAGCCAAAGTCTTTTTTGTGTGGATGTTAGAAACAGTCTGAGATTGAGCAATAAGCAAAGCAGTTAACATCCTCCACCTCCACGATTCTCTGCCATATCAGACCCTCTCTGAGGCCTCGGGGTACCCCGCTGGAGGCCTTACAACCAACACTTTCCTTTGCTGAGGCTGGGCCAGGAAAATGTGTTACCGAAAGAGGACATACCTACAGACAGTTCTCCCACAGCTCGTCAGTGTTAGACAGCTATCCATCTGTCTAGATTTCTTATCTGTCTGTCTATTCATCTTTCTTTTTTTCTGTAATCTATAAACTCAGGGCCAAACAGCAAAAGGCTGACTCACCAAGGAAGCATTCTGGAAGACACTTTTCCACCTCATACTTAGTGGCCTTGTTGTGCATTTTGTATTATTGATTTTTCAAAAGAACTCCCACTTCCTGAATTCAACTGCCTTTGACATCAAGGGAAAAATGACGGAAATACAGACCCCAGATCTCAAAGGGGCAGCCTAACTTTTTAAAGTCTAACACACATGTGCACACACGCACGTGCACGCACACACACACATACACACAGAGAGAGACGGATAGACAGGGGTTTCTCTTTTCTTGCTTCTTTTTCTTGTTATTGACTCCTAGAACATTTTACATAATTTTGATCCCAGCTAGCCAATGGGCCAACATTATTAGATACAAACATGCATTCAAAGTATTGGCGAATTTCTGGAAACCTAAAGAAAGATTCCAGATGGCAGCCCAAGATTAGCAAGAAAGTCTTACCCTACCCTCAGATTAGCATCATCAGAAGCTCACGTGTGCTTGTCCAAGGATATTTCCCAGATACCAATTCTCTCATTCATTCAAGTCTTTCCAGCCTTATGACAGGAGAAAGTCAGGTCTCGGACCAGCAGGTGTCCCTATGTCGTGTAAATCTCTTCTTAGCCTCCGTTTTTCAAAACCCTCAGCTTCTAAAACCAGAGATACTGGAGGAGGGGGATATCTCAGTGTCAAAGGGATGAGGGCCGATTGGTAGAGAGGCTAGCAAGCTTCCTGACATAGCTTTTACAGAAAAATAAAACTAGTGGAATATCTCAAAACAATAATGGTGGCTTAGTGCGCCAACAAAGGCGGTACCTATAAGGGGTATATTAGCGATTTAGAATTACTGGACTCCACACTACTAAGGAGGCTGGGGAGGAGTACGAGAGCCCCACAGTATAAGACTCTCTCCTACCCTGAAGTAACCCAGCACTAACTAGAATCTGTCCCAGGGCTACAGAATTTAAAGTACTCACGTTCTCAAAAGTTGATTTCAATTTTACTAAATAATGTAACAGACTGGATTTGTCTAGCCTGGGGGTATGCAAACTAAATGCATTGAGAGAGGCGAGTGTCTGGAGACGGATTGAAGGCTCTCTGCAATCTAGGTCAGACCAAAGTAAGGGCACTGGGTGTGGACTGGAGGAAGTGGTCACAGGCCAAGAACCCTGTGAGACAGCAGTTCCTAACCCGTGGGTGGCGCCATCAGAAACCACATATTTCTGATGATCTTTGAAACCCCCAGACATAAATTTATTTCAGTTGCTACTTCATAACAGTAATTTTGCTACTGACAACTGTCTCGGTTCCTGTCTGTTTTCCGATGACCGCAACCACTGCTCGAAGGTGTCTTGAGAGGTGGAGCGGCTGGGCAAGCCATGGTCAGCTCCAGCAGTCAGATTAAACACAGGAAGCCCGGGATACGGTCTTCTGTGTTCGGCGTGTGGAGTACCTGCTTGTTTCATGTTAAAGTTGCCCCTCTTCCCCATGCAGGTACCACGGTGCCCGCGCTGCTCAACAGCACTTCCAACCAGCTCTGCCTACACTTCCAGTCGGACATCAGCGTTGCCGCCGCCGGCTTCCACCTGGAATACAAAAGTAAGATCAGCCTCAACCACTGCTTGTGCCTGGCTCTGGGAGCAGCATTCCTAGAGGAACACACCCTGAGCGTCTTAAATGATGAAATGTTATTGCCGTGAGGCATTTCTAATGCTTGGGTGAAACTGAGTTTCACGAAATACAGGCTACAGGAATGGGCACTATGTACAAACCACAGACTGTGAGGGCGAACGCAGATGTTAGCATCTGGAATAATTAGCAGAACCGAGTCTTTTCAGGCTGTTTACGGTAGGACACACAGGTAGCCATTTGTAATGGGACTGACTTTATGTGTGACGACAGATATATAGTCACCTTTCCAAACACAGACTAGGGTCATCTCACCAGCTAATGTCATGGAACTTTCCTTGTGAACTCTCAGAGAGATGCTAAAACAAGCGAGACTAGTTAGCACTAGTGAGAGCAGGCATTCCAGAGCCCGTGTTTATGTGTTACTCATTTTAACTGGAAGAGACAGCACAGGAGAGAGGTAAATCACTATAAAAGTGGATGTGAGACCGCATTAATGGTCCGGTAAGTGGGACAACCAAGGTCAAATTCACAAACCCACTGCAGTGGCGGATGCTTGAGGCTTACCTTGTAAACGTGAAGTGTGAGTTTCCCGCAAAAGTGGGGTTTATTTGGGACGTGTTTTCAGGCTTCGAAACGGCTCGATGTTGGCATTATCTCTTCTAATAAGCGGTTGCAAGTGAGCAAATCCGTGGGTTCGCGTCAATAAGTGATTTTTAAAATTGAGATAAACAGTTTGCCGGAGTGTAATGTGTGTATTTTGAAAAGGCCACATTCCAGCTGACGATAAATATTCATCTCCAGCCACCATCCGCAGGCCCCGTGCATCATCTGCCTGAGCTTCCCCACTTATTACAGGCATTTGCATGCAAACACATTCTAATTTATGAGAATAGGGCTCCTCTAGTGACAGTGTAAAATGACCCTGCAAATGCTATTTATGTCGAATACTTCTGGAAAATTCTACTACGCTGATACATTTTGTGAAGGTTACACAAATAGCGGATGAAACCCTTATTGGCGCCTACAGTGTTAACCAAGCCATTAAAATTTTCGCCCTGTTGGAACTGATCATTGTTCTGAGCTCTTGAGAAGTTATCTTACAGTCTCTGGCTTTTCCCTCTCTTTCTGGGGAAGATGTTGGTAACGTAATTAGCCTGTGATTATTGGGGATAATTATCTACTTTGCACATGGACTGTAGCCCTATTAGCATAATTGTCTCCATCCCATGATATTCTTAGTCAGTATGAGTCTCTAGCAGAGAGACTAATTTCCTCCAATTGCCCATTGAAATGAAGCCTCTTCGGGAACCCAAGGCCTTGTGTGAGAATCCAAGACCATAATTAAGTAATGTGTTTGCTTTTCATTTGACCGAGTATGATATGATATGGACTGTTCCAGGTGGTTGTCTTTGTGGCTGGTGCTGTTTTGAAAACGCATGTTGTTTGTGCATTAAGGGGAACTCAGCTCGTGGCTCTAATTTTTCATATCCTGTTTTAAATGGGTATTATAAAGTATTTACAGAATTAGCCTTACCGCTCTAAAGACTGTTGACTTAAGTTGCCAACAATCTCTAATATTTTAATACATTGATATATATTTAGACAAGCACAAGCACTATAAAATGTATATTTACAAATCTCTGCAAAAGCCTCTAAATTCATGTTTTTAGTAAAATGTGTATCCATAAAATGAGAAGAAGAAAGCAACTCCTAGAACACATGCCACGCAATCTACTTGAGCTGCTGTCTGTCTTCGGTGTTTCTGAGGTGAAAAAAAAATAAAGCAAAAGATATTCTGTCACCACCATGATGACCACGTCTGCAGAGACGCAGCATTTTGCCAGGAGTATTGTTTACTGAGCTCCAGGGGCCAGGAGCCCCCACTGCCACTGGAAAGGGATGTTGCAGATGTCCCTATGTTAGTAATGCTTGCACTACACACACGCCCAAGTCTAAAGAGAGGAGGAACAAGAAGCCTGTTGAGACTGAAACCCGAAGCACAGTACCTGCTCTGTACCTGCATCCTGAGAGATGCAGTCCTGGTGTAAATGAAGGCCAGGCCTTCTTAATCCAAAGGGACACTGTGGAATTCTCAAACCCAAACCACTTGCATCTGATGGGGTGGTGCATGTAGCTCTAGAGTGCATGGTTTAACATGCATGATCCAGAGCATCTGTGTGTGTGTGTGTGTGTATGTAACCTGGGTAGCCCATCACATGGACACACAGCATCTCTGAGCACTTGAGTGTCTAAGAGTGAAGATTCTGAGAACCCCGAGGCACTTCAACCCTGCTTTTCTCCAAATTGGTACACTAGGGTCTTTGGTGCCATCCCACTACAGAGAGCCTGTGGTGGGAAGGTCAGGCATCCTATCTTGGTCTATGAGCCAAGGGAGACTTGAGTCCAGCCTTGGGAGGTTTGCTTGGGTGAAACCAACATGTTTCCCCAGGCTCTGCTTCTCCTGTGCTCTGTAGCAGACAGTGTCTGTGCCTCCTGGGAGTGAGAATTCCATCAGAATTCAGCTCACCCAGGTACCTCAGTGCTGTGTTGGATTCAGAAAAGTATCTTATTGCATACTTCAGGCTTTGCTTGTTAAAACAAAAGGGATTCTTTCTACTTCAGATCCTACAGCTCAAATGGATGGGATTTCTAAATTGCTCTCTGTCAAGGGATATTAGTAATTTAGGTATTTTTAAATTGCTGGGGTTTTTTTTTGGCTTTTTGTTTTTATGTTTTTAACTACACTTGGGAATTTTAAGGTAAATTGCTCTAGGCCAAAAAAGTTAAGTGACTGTTCCCAGGGAAGCCTTAAAATTCTGCAAAAGACCTTAAGTCTTTTCAAGTAAAATAATAAACCTTTTAGCAGGGTGGCATCATAATTGAGTATTGATGAACTGACAACCTGGGTTAATACCCTGATTATAAGAATTCTTATAAGTATATGTGAAATATAAGTGTACGTTAATGACAGTCTCATATCAGTAATACTCATGAGCACCCTGATGTCATTGGTGGGCCTAATTAGGTACCCACGAAATGGAGGTTGGGCAAGAACCTTGCTGTGTGCCAGCACATTAGAGCATTCTCTGTGTCCCCAATGATGAGGGTAGCATCCCCTCCACAGAGTGGCTGGCAGCAAGCATCTGCTCACCAGTGTGGTCAACTGACCTTACACCTGCGCATCTCGGGTCTCTGAGATTTACCTCTATTTACTCAGCCACTGATTTATAAGGTTTTCTATAAGAACTTTCACTACCAAAAATTTCCCAACAGCTTTCTTTTAGGCTTCCCTTCTCCCTACCAGAAATGCTTTCCTGGATATCAGCCAATCATTATGCCCCCCCTGCCCCACCCCCATTGGATCTTAACTGCATTGAGGAACTTGGCAGCTTTTGGGTAATGTAAATTCTGGCTTCTGTCTCCCATACCAGAGAATTTCAGAGAAGTTTCTGAGAAAGTGAGGTCTACCAGATAATCATAGGGGCCTGGTACCTTTTGCACATGTTACATGCAGCCCAAAAGACTGTGGACAAGTTAAAAGTTTGTTCCTACCTGTGACTTTTGGGTTCTAAAACACCATGTAGTTCACTGCAGAAGTATGATCTAAGTCAGTTTCACAGCTGTCCTTCTGGGCAAAGGGACTGGGATTTTCCACACCGTTCCACCCTAGTCTTTAGGACTCTCAGATCTCAGAAGATTTGAAAAGAGCAGGGGTCAGGATCGATCTTCTTTTTCTACACAGTAAATCTGAGGCCAACCAGGGATACATAATATCCTATCTCAAAAGCAATAGTGAATAAATTAATTACCTGAAAAGCTAGGCACATTTATAAACATCATTCAAAGTGCAAGGTATCTTGAAAACCCAATAGTTCTGTTTCATTAATCTTCTACCAAGTTCTTAGTTGCTTAAATAATGAGCATACTTGTCTTGAGTGTGCGTAGTCTAATTATTTGTTTTGAAGTTGTGTTAAGAATTGAACGTTCTTAAATGCGCTTATAAAATTTTGAGTAATATCAGAATCCAATGTGCTATATTATTATACATATTAGTCTTATAAAATGTCATTCATCACCATATTCTTAAAAATATAGATGCTTACATCCTAAGAAGGCACAAGGTAGCATCGGATTTCCTCAAATCTCTAGAACAACAAATATTATACATATGTATAGACAACAGTCAAATGTGTATTTTAAATACATGGTGCCATTATCTGAGGGTACAATACCTCACTATAAATCATGGATCAGGAACTCATCTTTAGGTCAAGTGCAGTCAGCTGTGTTGGCCTTGGGGCTGCTTTCATAGATAGCTGAAGATAAACAGGCACACTGAACACATCTGGAAAGATGCTGATTACTCCCTGTGGTAGCTTGAATGTGCTGTCCCCATCATCTGAGCATTTGAATACTTGTCCCTCCTAGGTGCCTTTGGGTTTAGGAGGCATGTCCTTGCTAAAGGAGGTAGGTCACTGGGGGAGCACTGTGAGGTTTCCAAAGACTCTGCCATTTCAACTTTGTTGTCTCTGCTTGGTCCTTTTCCTGTATGCCTTTGGAAATTTGAACTCTCAGTTGCTGCTTCTGCAGCTGCCATGTCTGCCCGCTGCCATTCTTGATTTCCCAATGTGAATTTGATGGACTCTTATCGCTCTGAAACCATAAATCCAAATAAACCCTTCCTTTTCTTAGTGCCTTTGGTCATAGTGTTTTATCACAGCAATAGAAAACTGACTGATGTGGTCTACTCAACAAAGAGCTAATAAATAAAAACAACAGGCATGTCAGACGTTGTAAGACACTAAAACAAAATAAATGTATTAGGATTCTGGGTAGATTCAGTTAAGAAGATATTGTTTTAATGTGTTTTGCTCAGTGTACTTGCCTGACCAATGAGTCTACTGAGTAGTAGTAGGAATTTCAGTCAAATCTAAATATCTTATAGTTGCTTACTTTTATTTAAATAG